TCCTACATGATGGTCCGGGAGCTTCACATTGCGTTTTTACAACGCTTTCTGCGTAGTTCCCACCTAGTGCTTCTCCATAAAGAAGTATTAGCAACGTACTGACAAAATTGTATGATTTACATTGAATTCAAATAGAATATAATGTATATTTAATGTAATGTCACTACAATGGTTGTATAAAAACGTTCATACAACATAAACCCTTTTATTTTCAATCTAGCATTCATAAACACGATGCAGATAATTCAAATATTTAACGACCTCAGTGGCCTAACGCTTTATGTTGCGGGGACGATGGATGTGGAGGTCCCGGGTTCGGTTCCCGGTAGGACGAATTTGGGAAATCAACATTTCTAAATTGGTTCTAATATGGGTGTTCTGGGAAATGCCCGAAAGTGGATTCTGTTGCTCTGTTACTCATAGTACAACGGAATTCTCTAGTTTGAGACCAAGCAGTTGGTGTGGTTGTCCGGCGCATTTTATTTTATTATCAATATCTGGTTTTACTTTCTTTTTCTCAGCCTGTCTGGTTTTAACCACACTAAGGATCTAAATCACGTAAATACAGTATAATCTATGTGAAGCGCGTGTAATAAGAAGAAGAGCCTACTCCATCCGCTTCCATCTGAATGAACTTTTTGGCATGCCTTTAAATGGTCATTCTAGGGCTAGTGTTCACAATTTAATTTTCACCTCAGCAGCTCGAACAAGGCTATTTTGCTGTGTGAAATCAGTGAGCAAAATCTTATTTTGCTCACTCCGTGAGAAAAAGTAGCTTTTTGCTTTTTAAGTGGAGACTTGTCATTTAATGCGAAGGGGTCTAATACAAATTCGACATATTTCAAAATCAGTCGCTCCGTCCCTTTCACTTCATTACAAGAAAAAGGAAAAAGAAAATTATGGTTTATTCGTACTTCGATATTTAAGCTACATAGTAGACCCCCACAAAATGGCTGAACGAGTGCACGTTCGGAAACTCGTCAATTCATCTAAAAGATAAATTATGTGAGAAATACAAATACGATTTTATACTATGATAATTTAGTTTTTACAATTTTCATTAAAAATAAAGCAAGTGTTGCAATAAATATATGCTAAATTTATAACGTCAATTAAAGACGTATTATAGATTCGATAAACCTAAAACAGACTTCGCATTCTTGGGCACAACCTAGCACCTCCAGTGATGCGAATCATACCCAAACCCGCCCAGAATCACCAACTTTTACGGTGCGGGAAGGGTCACAATCCAGCTCAACTCATAATGAAACCTCGACCACTACTCAAGTAGCAAACACTACGACGATTACTGTTCCAAATAAAACAGTAACTTTTAATCTACAGAATTGTACAAACTTCACGTCCCACTTTTAATTTTTTGTAAATTCTGTATTTTTGTAAATATACAATGATGCATTTGCTTTCATGACGTGTTTTTATTACTTGTCCCTTTAGTATATATATATGTTCTCGCTGCTGAGGTGAAAAGTTGTATGTATCACGCGAGAGCAAAGTTATTTTGCAGTTCGTATTTTTGAGTCCCTCGCTTCGCTCAAGATTCTAATTCTGAATCACTCGCTACGCTCGTGATTCAACTATAGAATCTTTCGCTTGCTCAGGACTCAAAAACAGCACTCGCACCAAAAAACGACTTTGCTCTCTTGTTGAACAAATAACTATTTCGTGGTAATAATATACACAAATATTTATTATAAAAATTGCCACGAAAATTAGGTAGCGAACACTAGTCCGAGAATGACCGTAAAATTAGAGCTTTTTGCAAAATATATATTATATTATATATATAGTACGGAAATGCTTCATCAAAATTTTTCAAATGCGTCGGCGGCGGCGCGGCGCGGCGTGACTGGCGGCGCCCATGTTAACTCCCTAGCATTTTGCTGTTATGTATTGTTTATAAAGGATATTTGGAATCATCAGCTTTCGTTATGTTGTTTTACTATTCTGCTTAATTAAATACTTACTTATGTAAAGGAAGTAAAATCAATCGAAACTATGAAAATCATACAGTTATTTAATACTGTTGATCTTGGCTCTAAGGTGCAAATAACAGTGATGTCAATCCATCAATTATTTATCGCAGTGATAAAAGGCTGCACAGACTCTGAATAAGCTACCTTAACAATAATAATTGTATCATTTGCCGGTTCTTGAACCTGAGACCATGACCCGGGCCGAGTGAGTAGGTACCGGAGGCACCGCCTCCTTCTTTTAAAGGTTAAAATGTATCATGGGAGAGGCGAAAATGTAAAATTCATAACCAAAATAATAACAAATTGCTGTTTTGCACTACTACTACTACTGATTTGCAAGAACAAAAACACAGTGCATACAAAAACTAAATTTTATCGTAAAATAAACACATGGCAACAGTGAACGGCTTTAGATATTCTTAAGTTCTTTTTAAACCATCTTCCTGATGAAGTATGTTAATTTTGAGATGGCCGTTATTATTATATATAATATGTATATTTAACCATCGAAATATAAATTGCATAAATAATTATACAATTTATATTTCGTTATATATTACATATAACTTATATTACATATAAATGTTATGTTTGTCCGTAAAACTATTAATTAAACATGATTCATTTCATGTATTTTTCAAATGTTTTCCTGTACATGTTCTCCAAACATTCAACAGAAAGACGACATTTAACTACTTAAACTTTAATTAGACATATATTAACACAAGACAGTTTTTTTTATATAAAAAATAAGTGCGCATTTGACTTCCATCTCACCTGATAGAAAGTGACTATAAGGTCGACCTCATCGTTCAATAGGCATTATTTATATGTATATATATATATTTACATTTGTATGGATGTAGTAAATCCTCGAGGATGTAGCATGCACACCTAAATAATGCCTATTCACTCTCGCCTTGAAAAGGTCCAAGTTATAGCGTTCAGGTAACAAGTCTGCAGGCAGAGGATTCCACTCCTTAGCCGCTCGTCATACAAATCGACACATCCGTAGAACAAAGGTCTATGTGTAAGACTACTTGTTCTCAGGACATAGTACATTTCGTTCGTTCTTCTTCGCTGTGGATGTCAGATCGACCGTTGTTCGATTTTATATTTCCGAAACAAAATAAGATATATAAATTCTCAAAACACCTTTACATAGGCCTTGGTTTGAATAACGAAATTGTTCTCGTAACGTACTTATTCTCTTTTCGCTATATAATCACTTCGGACTCTGTTCTTCGGATGAGTCGAAATGTGGAAGCAAAACGCGAACCCGAGGAATATCCACAACATAGGGGTAGAATCCCTGCCCACGTCTAGTCTCCCGATGATGGAAAAGGGAAGGCGGAATCAAATTATGCAATTCCATCACACACTCTCCGTGGTATATCCTGTGGAATACCGATAAGCTAGCGGTGTTCAAGGCTCTGCAGCTTCGCATCTTCTAATTTAGTTATTCTCTTTCATAAAAATAACTGTTTTTGACCTTATCATTACTAATTTATTACATTTAAATAACAGTTTCATTCCTCGTAATTTTTTAAAAAGCCCTGAATAGTCACATAAGCACGAACTTCACAAGTGTTTGTTTGTACCTGTATATAAGTAGTGGTTGGAATATGCTGCTTTAAATAAGTAGACAAAATGTGTACATTATAGATACAAGGAGTGGCATAAAGTGGTTAAAACCTACCAAATTTTAATTAATTACATGTTGCTTCCGAATTTTAGGAAATAGTTTTACGCGTCTGTTGCATCGTAAGATAAAAGTAGTCACATAGGAAATTGAAGTTGAATTTTGAAATAATTCTAGTGGCGCCAAAAAATGTAGTAAAAGTAAACATTTATTTATGAGCTACAAGCAATAGTTTGTTTTAACTGATGTGGATATTGTAGATAAAAACTACGATAGTTTAAAAACAATAGGTAGTGTAGACGTTTATGTACTCATTGGAACTATGGATGGTATGCTACACGCCTGTCCATAACAGCTGCAGTGTCACTCAGAGCTTTAAATTGCAAAGATCTGAGGGGCTTTACCACTGCACCCGTCACTTTGAGACATAAGTTGACAAGTCCCGTGTGCCTGTAATTTCACCAGTACCATTACCCATCAAAACCGGACACTGTAACGCTGACATATGCTTGGCGGCATAACTAAATAAGGCGGCAGTACTTTCCTGGACGAACTCTTTCACAAGGAGCGCTACTGCAACTAAAATGTTCCGTGACTGTTTACATTAAAGAAAGAAAGAGCATGTGACAATTTAAATAAAATAAAATGTAATGTATACTGCCGCCATCAGTGAAAAGAGGGCGATCTGTCGCTATTTTTATTTTTTTCTAAGTGTATAAAGTACGAAGTTACGGCAAGAGAAAAATAAGATTTCAAAAATTTAATTTCTTTAAACCGTATCTCGGTTTTGAATTTTGTCACAGGCGCCCTTTAAACTAATGGCGGCGGCATAGTATATTACTAAACTTCAATTTAACATACTATAGAGTGAATAATACTCCCCTTTGAAATTTAGGAATGATAAAAAATAAATTAGCAAACAAAACTGTTCTTCTAAATACTCTATCAACTATAGTAAAGTATACTAGGAAACCCTGTATCGCGCATGCCATGGACACACACACAGCCAACCACAAATTACACTCAAACTTACGAGAGAAATTAATGTAGGCCATACAAATATTTCTCCCGGCCCGGGAACCGAACCCGGGACCTATGCGTGGCAGTCGAGCGTGGCAACCGTTCAGTCACGAAGGCAGTTAATTTTAGCTATTATTAGTGAATTGTTGAAAAAATATAGAAGAAAATATAAACAAAAATATTAGAACAAACGTAAAAATTAAATTCCGTAAGGTAAACCTCTAATTTATTATTATAGGTACTGAACTTTAGTAACTTTACTAGTAATTAAAATTATGCTTTATGTTCAAAACAGCCAGTAAACCTTACAATACTGATACATAAAATATTATAAAAGCACTTACTCGTAACTGTAAGATGTCGAAGTGGAAATTATACAAAATATTAAACACAATTTTAAAGCCATTTTGCTAGAGGCCATCCGTCCGCTTCAGACGACTCTCGTACTACACTGACAGCTAGGCTGGTCGGCGTTCCGTATCACTGTTTTGCCCTCGGAACAAAAAGGCGCAACTAACATTTTCATTAAAATCGAGCTGTATATACACATAACATTCGGGATCAGGGAAAAAATGCCTAGCTAATTTTTTGTAGGAAACTATCTCAATAATTGATGGATGTACAGTAAGCGTAAAACGCACAACTGTCAATCAGAATCAGATTTTCTACCATAAAAACTATTAACAAAGGATTTTACTTAGTAATGCAGGGAGCGGGCAAAACATTTGCGCCGGAGCAAGTATAAATTCACTAATCATGATTGGTAATCATCAGGGATCGGAATTGGTAGAATTTTTTACCTAACCTTCGAGGAACATAGACAGAAAATGGAGACTGCTTTACGACGATATTTTTTAGGTCCTGGACCTTTTGGGGATTCGGGAAATCACTTAAAAACATTAAAAATGGACGTAATTAGGGACAGGCAGGTACTATATTTAACTTACTTTGCGACACAGTGGGTCAGGTCAAAAAAAAAAAAAAGGTCTGCGATATTGCGGACATTGGATTTTTCACGATACCTCTCTAAAAAATGCCAATCGAGAGGTCCTATTGTCTTAATTTTTTTAATATAATTTACACTTTACTATGTATATTATTATTGTCAATGTATAACTTTACTCATAGTCGTTATATTTTTGCTTTCTAATAAGTTAATCCCTCTCGTTGGTTCTGACTGAAAACCAGCGCCTTAGGAAACTTTGGCATATGCTGAGTCAGCGCCGTTTCACTGCTATGACAATCATGTTTTGTTTTTTCTTTTATGCTAAATCTGTATTTGTGTTATATCAGTGATTAAAGTGTTTATCTATCTATCTATCTATCTATCTAATTAGATATTGTCATATCACATTTTGCCATAAATCTAATCGTTTAATAGGAAAGAAATAAATGTGTATTTTTTGTATGGAACCATAACTTTAGTGCTCCATCGTTACAAAGTCTCAATCGATCCAGTCTTGGAATCACAAGAGACGTATTATTAGACCTATGTACTCTAGATTTGCACACTAAACGCGCGCCCAAACTTTTTTTTTACGGGAGGAAATCTTTATAGATACCCGCCTATTCACTACTTATACGCGTCAGAAAATGTGTCGTAAGGCAGTCTCCATTTTCTGTCTATGTTCCTCGAAGGTTAGGTAAAAAAACTCTACCTATTCCGATCCCTGGTAATCACCTAGGAAACTTACGCTGAATATATTGTTTATTGTTCTTCAAATAGTGGACACATGTACCGGTACTTCACAGGGAAGGTCCTCGCATCCAACGCCCAAAAACGCTTTAGCATTTTATAGAAACAACTTTTAAGTTATTGGCATCCATGAGGCAGCAATAACGTCTTACGAGAGGGGACATTTTGCGCCTTAAGTTTGTTAAATGCAACTTAGTTGTATAATTAATTTTATTTTCCTACGTTTCCCAGATAGTAGTAGTTTTTTTATATAAAATTGGAACAGGCATAACATTAATACTTAATAATAAATATTAATACTAACTTGATATAGTTACATATCGTATGTATACGAAGAGACCAGGGAAAGATGATCAAAGTTTCTTAAAACACGTTTTAAGTTAGTACCGTCATTCAGTTCGGTAAACGATAACCGTAATTTGCCTAAAACAGAAAAAGGCTAAATAATGTTCAATGATCTGAAAAATTAACTTTACTTATAAAAATGCTTGCGACTAAATGGTAGAAAAGTTAAAAAAGATTTATTAATATCTATAGTTAAAATGGATTACATATCGTTACATACATTTACGTCAGAATTGACTTTATTTACGTGTCTTTTTCACCAATATTTAAAATGTTTAAAATTGTCCTCAATTGACTTGGAACATTCTTTCCCTGGACTCTCACATTGGGTGAAAATTACCAAAAATACTTTGTTTATCTGAAAATAACACAAAAGTAGATCAAAACACGTAATATTTTAAACATTACTGCCAAAACTCGATCTATATCTCGACTGGATGAGTCGATCGACTCGATGGCACCGCACAAAAGTGTGTCTTGTATTGGATACATAAGGTTAGTTTTTGTTCTCGAAGAATGCTGCGATTCGTGAAAAATGTGATTTGAAAGAGGATGTAGTGACAAAAATAGAAAAGGGTATGCTGAGGTTTGGGCACATGGAGCGTAGAATTAATGTAGATTAACAAAAGAAACGTATAGAGCTAACGTAGAAGGAATCATTGGAAGAGGACGATCGCTAAGAACATTCTCTGATCAAATTGAGAGTGTTCTTAAAAACGCTGGAGTGCGTAGTGAGAAGAATAAGAGGGCAGAATAATGTATGAAAAGATTGATGAATGTTAGTGTAGCAAGAGAGGTTTGTGAGTATATAAGTAAATAATAATAAAAATAAGTAACCGGCAACTAGAAGCGACCATTTTATCTCCATAGAATTGAAAATCGACACGTTCGCTGGTCAAAATAGTGGTTGTAGACGCAACACAATAATAATAATTTACTTTACCATGCCGGAATGCCACGCAGCGGTCCCAGTTTCGATACCCGGGCAGGGAGAAATATTTGTATGGTCTACATTTGTTTCTCTTGTGAGTTTGGGTGTAATTTGTGGTTGTCTATGTGTCCTTGGCACCCGTGACACAGGGTTTCCCCAATGCGGCTATGTTGAGTGTGTTCATTACTGTTTACATATTTTTATTATAAATAATAATAATATATAAATAATAATATAATAAAAAATCATAAAATTACTTAGTATGAAATATTTTAGTTTTTTATTCCGAGTATTGTTTTTTAGTGTATTAGTACATGCATATTAGGTAGTATAAATTATTTATTGCCTGTCTGTTGATAACTGTTTGTTTCCTTGATATAAATTTGATTTCGGACTATCGTTCAAATCGACGCTTGAAGTTGAAGTCTCAACTGTATGCAGTTGGTAACAACTTCACGCAGTTGATAACAACTTCACGCAGTTGATAACAACTTTATGCATTAAGTGCAAACATGCCACAGACATTAGATATGTCTGTGAAACATTCAGTCAATCCGTAGCAGCTCACTCACTAATGAGACCCGGCTTTACTGACTTCCTTCTAATTCGCTGTGCCCGAAAAGATTCATGATTCTTTTACTACGTAACAACTTATATACCACTGTAGAATGCAAATACATAAATAAAAAACAAAGAATCAAAGGACACAACTAACTATAATTAATACGCTTATTCGAATTTTGTCGATTTTGCATTTTTAATACCAAATTACTCATCTACATTAAATTAAATTCGAAATTAAGAAAATATGTAATTTAGAAAATATTTTTTTTAATGTATATTTTATAGTTACATTTTTTGTCGCTAGGTGACGTTCGCTGCAATTTTATTCACATATTATTTAATCTTAGTTTTAGTTTCTAGTATTTAAGCGTTTATTGTACATACCTTCCTGTATATTTCAATTTTTTGTATAATAATAAATAATAAACGACAGCCCCCTTTTATAGCCTATAATGAATATACTTGTAGTGAAAAATAATTAATATTGTTTGAAAAGGCTCTGATGAAAAGTTGCAATTTTTAGCGTATTGCAAAGAGTACTTTATATTATGTATATAATACATAAGCTGTAGTGTTTATTCCTGGTGTCAAAGAATTTCCTTCAAATTGGAATTTTTGGAAGGATTATCTTCACGGCGGCGGCTAGCGCTACATTTCTGGAATGTCTCCTAGCGACAAAAAATGTAACTTTTATGTATGTACTGTTCATTACAAACAAACAAGACTATGTAGGACTACTACTCCACACGAGATGGCGCGCAAAACGATTATAACCCGACCATTTGTAGTATCGCTTTAATTAATACCATGAGCTCCGTCGCTGTAGAACTATCTAATATGGTCGCGCAGTTTCTCGAACAGTATAATCACATTTCTTCTCGAAGTTTCTAGCTAAAGATACCCGATGCTAGATGGCGCTTTGTCGAATAGTATAAAAAGGGAAGTTGGAGCGCTTTCTGCATCAGTTTGAATAACAAGACGTAAACAGTGACTTCAGAAATAATTGAAATTGAGTGGAGAGAACAACACGGTGAAAATGTCGATTATTCCGCGATTCTACGATTTCGAGAGACCATTCCGAATGATGGAGCGCAACTTATACCGCCCGGACGACTTTTTCAACTTCAATACGATGGTACCAAGTAATTTCTTTGCTCCAGAATTCTTCAGACCCTGGGACAACGTATTCAGACAATGGGAAAACAGCTTCCAACCTATGGAGCAGCTGCAAGCTGCAATGAATAGAATGGCGTTAAACGACGTTGGTCAGAATATCACTATGGATAACGAGAAGTTCCAAGTAAACGTAGACGTGCAGCATTTTGCTCCGGAAGAAATCAACGTTAAGGTCGTCGACGGCCAAGTCACAATCGAAGGCAAACACGAAGAGAAAATGGACGAACATGGATATATATCCCGGCAATTTGTGAGAAAATACGCGTTGCCTCAGGGGTGCCTGCCCGACACAGTTGAATCAAAGTTGTCATCAGACGGTGTGCTCACAATTACTGCTCCAAAAGTTCTACCTCTACCTTCAACCGGTGAAAAGATTGTGCCAATAACTCATACTGGGCCCGTCAAAAAGCAACTCACTTCACCCAGTTATGAGAAAACCAACTAAAATAATATTTTTAGTGCCGGTGAAGACATTTTTCTTTCAAAGACTGAATTTAAGTTGAATTTGTGCTTTATTTTTTTGCTAGTCTTATAAGTTTCTTGTAAATATATAATAATCAAAATTCAATTGAATGTGTTTTATTTTGTCGAAATTTAATAATTTACGCAAGTGTGGGTTTAAGTTTTAAATACCATTGCTTGTGAATCTATAGTGTTATAGTATAGAGAGTAGACTTGTTTATGTAACTTTAAAAGAATTTACGTTATCGAAAGTTGTTTACAATGCGTTTGTTATAAACGTGATACACCAACACCTGAAAAACATCAATAGCAGCCAAGTCTCTCATTGCACGAGAATTGTATCGCAATTGCGTATGAATTTTATGAATTAATGAACTGGGTTTAGGCCATAGGGCCTAACTAAACTCTTCTTAGAGGGAGATTCGCGTTCGGCAAATGAGACTTACAAGTACCACTTGCAAATGCAATTAGCAAAAATGTAAATTTTGAAACAGTCACACTAACTACATCAAAATATTGTTTACATTTAATTTCAAATTTAAAAAATAAATAGTCGTTAGCTGGAAAGGTAAAACGTCTAACGTGCATTTGGAAAATCATCGCCTTACTTCTCAAACTCGTATCTTAAAGCACAGTCACTGAAATGCAAGAAATGGATTGAAATGGATTTGGACATATACCTACTTATTTTGCAGTCTGATTTTACATTACATTTCCTTCATATTTATACACTCTCACTCAAAAAGAGGAATTTTTCAGAATCGATGAAAAACGAATTACTCACTTCCCGCAAAAAAAACCATTAAAATTTATATGTTATAGTTTATTATAGACACATAAGCAATTTCTCAAATGTATTTTTAAAATAAAATGGAAATAGTAATTTTAAGTTTTTTAATTAGGATTATTTTGGCCAGAACTAGCTCACATAAAGTGTGTCTCTTTTTGAGTTAAGTAGATATCTTTTGATTGTTTCTTACAATATTCTAACAACTGCTTTTTTGGCGTGTAGAGAATCAAATTTTACGTTCAGTAACGATATAATATTAAATTTCACATATTAGAATAATAACGCATAGAAACCTAGTCCGCACACGCTAAGTGAGGCAAATTGAAGCGCGCCAAAAGGGCCTACACGAGCGGGCGGGCCGTCAGTGCTCAAGGTCAACTTGCATCGCGAACAGCTCCAGAATTTTAGCTAAAAATGACGAAATGTGCGGTAAATGAGTGAAAAATACAAACATAAAATAGATACTAAGATCACATTCCACAAGGAAGTAGCGCGTTTCAACTTGTATTTTTATAGAAATATTCACTAAAAACGAAAATTAACCTACTACTAAAACTAGCCTACATGAATTTGGTTTTTGCCTCACTTGTGACAGTTCGTTTGATATGAAACTATCATTCTATGCGTTATTATTCTATGTTTCACATATTTTGAGTTACAACACTACTGTAATAGTTGTGCGATATAACAAATAAAATTAGTTACGATTTTTTCTTAAGAAAATTACTTTAAATCGCTCTCCTCTTTTCAGTGTCGATAATATTAATTGACTACATTTTACGTAACGGGTATAGAGTCATCACATCAGCTTATATCGCTCCTGGTGGCTGACGCGGGAAGTATTTTTTCCCTGGACGTTCACATATCTTTAAGTTTTAATCACATAGACATTATGTGTAAGTAGTTCTAATCTGCCATTAATAAAACAAAACTTAAAATTTTTCTACTGAGTTCATAATTTTTAAACATGTTTTGAAGTAAATCGCTGCTTTTGCGAAATATATTTCAAGTTCTGAAAAATTACTTAAAAATTTTACGATATATAAAAAGTAGATGCCAGCGCCATCTATTGGTTAACGTCAGTCTTCACAGATAATAATATGCAAAGCAAAAATGTTCACAGTAATTAGACCGTGAATATTATTAGGTGATGCTAATTCTAGATTGGCATTTGGGCGGATGCAAAATTAATTACATTTCATATTGTCTCAGTGGTCGTTCATACAATTTTTTTTTTATTTATTACCAAGACAGAACTAACCAGGTAGGAATTAGGAAGGTAGAAATAATTGAAATTTTTATTAAAATTTCCGTGGCACGTGTAGTGTATAAGTATATTGAAGTAAGCAAATTAATTAAGTAATTGTTCTGTCGTCTCTGGCAACACACTATGCGGAACTGTGGGGCGGGGAGGAGTCAGTGTCTACCGACCGCAGGGTGAAAACGTAGTGTGTGTGTGCCAACGAGCCGATATTTATCAGCCCTCCTAAGGTCTACTATTGCATTATACTACAGCACGCACGCCGTACTTACATGCCGTAAATGTATCATAAAAAATCCTGTCTTCTACTTAGGAAGCAGAATTTTACCGTCGCTTATGTACTCATCTAGAATTCTGTTGTTTTCTAAAAATTACTTATGTCGTGGCGTCGAGATACCTATGTACAGGGTCAAGAGCACGTCAAGCTTGACACTTAAGACTTTAATACAACTCTATGCCACTTACGATAAGAACAGTCCAAAGGACATATAAAGTGTCAAGCTTGATGTGCTCTTGACTGTACCAGGGTCGCGTCGCGGTGTACAGGCCCGTATATTGAATGCTAAAAGCTGACATAGTTCTTAGTGACGGTAAATGTCAAATTTTACAACAAATGCTGTCTGCGTAAGACAGTAGAAAGAGAGACAGTAGAAGTAGAAAGTTACCACTTGAGAATTATCATACAAACAAAGCTTTACAACGTTTACAACTTGTAAAAAACGTCTGTTTTCGAATGCAATTGTTCTGCAAAGTAATCACTTTTGTGATTTATTGTTCTGTATTTGTAATTATAGTCAATGTAAGTACGTCGTAGTAAAGTAGGTATAATAAATGTAGTTTATTTTTGGTGAAGGTAAGAATAAAAAATATTGGTTTTCACCGTGATGCTACAGAGAACAATAAGAACATCACCATCCCTTCTAGCACTAAATTGTCGTATGTGACATACTTAAGTATGATGTAACATACAATTTTACTCAGCTTAAAAAATTTGCTTACTTTCTCCATTAAACATACGTCTAACTTTTTGTATATACGTGTATATTATGTAACACGAGCTATTAACCGAAATTAAAATTTGCCATATGACATTTACAGCAGTTAGCCAGGCGAGGGACAATCTTAGAGAATGGAAAGGGACAATGGTATACTTATATGACAACAAAAACAATGTGAAAAGTATTTTTGGTCGATTTAGAACTTTTTTGGTTTAAAAAAATATGAATGTCAGAATTGTATTACAAATGTCTACAATAATACTCAAGGTGCCGGCTTCGCTAATGGCGTCCGCCATAATTTTATATATTATTTTTATAAAACTACCGCATACACAATAGTCGTTTTTAGTTGACATTGGCGAAATTATCGATTATTTCGATGGGGCCATAATATTTAAAAGAAGAAGATGAAGAGAAATTTTATCTATAATTTTTTAATGATATTCAATAAAATTTTCCAATAAATACATTTGTAAATTGACAGCAGTTAAAATGTTTATTATAGAGAAATATTTAATACGTACTGTCTTACTAATCTGTTTTGCAACTATGAGAAATCTGTAAAACATAATTTTGATTAAATACAAGCTTCTAGTGAATTGTAACTTACGACCTTTACCTAATTATCAATATAACATGTATTGAATGGGGCCCAGGTAGTACCCAAAAGGTGCGACCCATGATCATGACAAAAAAAAAAAACAATTTCGTCACAACGTCTCAAGCTGCTCTAAGGAAATAATAATAAAAGCTTTGGATTACTATTAGAACATACTCAAAGGTTTCTTACGAATAAATATCTTGCGGTTTCTATATATGTATATATATATATATATATATATATATATATATATACATACATATATATATAATAATAATAATATTTTTTGATTGACTGGCGACCAACAATGGTAACATTCTAATTGTACCTATGGGGAAACTTTTTTAGGGACTTTAACTAACGATACTTAGCCAGTGTGGATTAGGCGCCTGACAAAGCGGTTTATTGTTTTGCGCCATCACACCAATTTATTTAAACATTTGTCTACATGCACCTGCAAAAGCAGTTGTACATACTGCGATAGCTGTTTGGTGAGAACAGAAAACTTTTCATACGTTGAAAATAGTTTGTTTGTTATCTTTAGTACAGTCACTGCCGCTAAAATTAGAGCTCTGAAAACTACACCCGTTATACTATACATACTTATTGCAAGGTTCATTATTTTGCTAGCCATACACAACACATTTAAACAACATCATATATTAATTATAAGGAGTGTACAAGTGAAATCAAACAGAAAACGAACCAAAATAAATACACTTCTTGCAGTTTTTAAGAACCATAACATAAATACTGAACCGCTTTATTAAATCCAACTTCTCTATCACCATAATGTTGTGCACTAAGTAATAGAGCCGTTTTAAAATTGATTACTCAATAATAATCAACATTTCTGGTCATATGGTTTTTATTGCCCGTTCGCAACTGGCGGGGGAACTGCTAATGCGGCTGGGAGAGCTGCGGCTTCACCACCTGGTCCAGCTATTTCCGTCTTCGAATCAGTCGCCTCTGTCCTCACTGGTCCAGTAGGAGTGATAGGAACAATGCGTTCATTAGGACTAAGCCTTTCCAGCGGAGCGTCAATCGTCAGCACCCCATCAGAGGACAAACGAGACTGCACACCTCGAATGTCACAACCATTGGGAAGCTCATACCTTCTCTTAAATTCCCTAGTAACCCAACCATGGTCATCTCTCTTTTCTTCATGTTTACCTTCGACAATCAGAAAACCATCTGCAGCTTTTACTGTTAGTTCGTCCGGAGCAAAATGCTGGACGTCCAAATTGACCTGGAACTTGTTCCTGTTAGAAGAAATCTTTGATGGTGCCTTCATGAGATTTTTCAGCCAAGGACGGTAGTAATTATTCCCTTGAACAGAAGCCAGGGTTACAATATCCTCAGGTGACAAAGTCAGGGTGTGTTGGCGATCGGGTACAAAAGATTGCAGACGCGTCCTATGAGAGCAACCGAAAAACGGCAACATAGTTGATTGTCTTGTTCTATTATGAGTACCTATTAAACGAAAACAAATTAATACCTTATAGGCAAGAATGACAGACGTTTTATTTTGGTAGATTGCTGTGACGTTTGTTAGCTGCCAGAAGCTTTCTAATTAAGCAAAAGAGAATCTACGTGAATTATATTTTGTGTTGTAGTTTCCTGTGGTTTTATTTCGAAGTATTTTTTCCTTTTTTTAAGGATACAAAATCATTGGTTTTTCTTTTAGGCATGCGTTAATTTGAATTGTTATGAACAATTGATAATGCCTATTTTATTTTTGGTTTGTGAAGATTAAAGGCCAATGTAAATTATGCCTAAACGGGTCCGCGCTAAAAAGTGTCCGAATTTATAGGGCGTTAAAATAGTATACAGAGCGTCATTCACGCTTTAGTCTTCGTTTGTTCAACTGACAGCGAAGCAAGCAAAATTAGACAGTACTGCGATAACATTACAATTTAAATTCAACGTTTTAGCTTTTTCATATTCCTTTACATGTCATTACGTTTAAATAGGTTGACTTGGGATATTTTTTTCGTGGTTTTTGTATTAGACTCGTCGTCCATTTATTTGTAAGTCAATGCCTAAACGGGTTTTATTTTAAAATAACGTGTAGTATTTACACATTTTTAAATTGTAATATAGTTGTCATGAAAGTTACGAATTTCTTAAATAAATGAGAAACAGGAACTAGATGAATAATGTTGAGGTACACTCAGAGCAGGAGCCTTACTCTCGAAGCACGAAAATTACGGCCGTTTTCCCACTATGGATGACCTACAGACTAGAAGTTCGATCGGGGCTAATCTACAACTAAAAATGTTCGACACGCGATTTGACAGTTTCCAACGGGCCAGTCTTTTCATTGCTGGACTTCGAGAGTAGGGCCTCAGGTCAAGCTTGGTACTTGAAGACTTCAACTCTATGCCGTTTACCATAACGATGTAGTGCCAAACTTGATTGTACAGTCAACAGCAATCAAGCTACACATTGACGTATCTTGTTCCGTTGCACTGGAGGCGATTTTCGAACAAAAATGTGATGTGCTGTTGTCCGTACCTAGAGCACTGCAATCTTGTAGCATACGCTAATTAATTATAGAAATAATCTGAGTGAACTCATGACGAATATCAATTGGTATGAGGAAAAGACTAAAAATAGATGTCTCACTGAGATCGCTGTCCGGGTTTTGTTCAATTTTTCATCTAGGTACATTATTTCAATGAGATTATTAATCAAGTGGAAAATTTAATTAATAAGTAATAACGGTGAATCTAAAGATAGGAGCTTCTTCCGCCGTTTTCGTTTTTAACCGACTTCAAAAAAACAGGAGGTTCTGAATTCGACTGTATGTCTTTTTTGTATGTATGTTACGCGATAACTCCGGTATTTGTGAACCGATTTTTATGATTCTTTTTTTGTTGGAAAGGGGGTACTTCCATAGTGGTCCCATTTCATTTTGAAGGAAATCATCCACCTCTAACGGTGGCTGTTCACGCATGAAGATTTATTTTTATAAATAGCGCCTAAATTTTCTTAAGGAGAAATTATTTTAATGGTTGATTTTGCTATTTCTCCAATTCAAGGCGTTTTTCTCTCAATATTCTTTGAGTAGTGAGAACCGATTTTTATTATCTCTTCCGTATAGTGGCGAATTTAAGGATATTTCAATAAAACTTAGCAAATAGACGTAATTCCACGTACTTTTGAGGTCGGTTTTTTTAGTACTCTGTGCTGAGATTATCTTTAATTCTATATAGTCTATTATTCTCCTTAATAAACACTTACAAAGGTCTGTCTTGTGAAGTCCAAGTGAAAAATGATGAACTTGTAAAAAAAGCAAAACTTGTATATATTTATTTGTAAAACAATTCATTTTTATACTCTAAACACGTTAATAATACAAATTAAAATCAATATTTCGAGCTTTGGTGGCGGGAATCAATATTTGGTGGCATTAATTTTACATTGTATAAAGGTACTAACATAACTATTAATTCCATTTATGTTAACTGTTATTTGTTCTTTGGTATCATATACCTCATACGATTTTCGTGTAACTTTGTGTACAGCTTTACATTTTCTTAAAATATTAATTAAAAGATTTGTGTATTTCTAATATAATAATAGTTATTACTAGTTATATCGAAATTCTTTTCACTAAATACCGTATCTGAATTTTTTGTCGTAACTGGCGTACGGTCTTCCTTAGTTACGCGCTTTCAAAAGCGATGATTTTTATCGATATACGAGAGGCGGCTGAAAAGTAATCCAAGGAATCTACTAATGTAGTAAGTAATCTACCTAAGTATGGAGTAGAAGACGTCCATTTTCTTTTTTAAATCCCTGTAAGGGAAATTACATTTGTTAGAAAGGTATGTTCGGTCTGTGTGTCGCTAATTTTGAAAAAATAATTAAAATCAAATACGTCACGATGCTGGCCAAGTGTTATTTATAAATTGGAAATAATGAAAAGAAATTACTTTTCAGGCGCCCTTCGTAGATCAAATAATAGAGATCTATTATTTTATCTACTAATTATGTAATTTTATCTATTAGTTAGTATGACACGAGCTGCAGTTGCGAATTTAATGTCTGTTAAAATTTGTTAATTTTTATACATTTTGCTTTTTTTCGACATGTCTAAAGCAAAGCGAAACGTTACAAAAGAGTGTTGCTAATTTTGAAAACGAATTGACAGTAAGTGGCCAGTATTGTTTTTATATTGGAAATGGTCAAAAGATATTACTTTTCACCAGATCCTCGTAACTTAAATAATAGACACGGGTCACCCGTTGCTGGTCGTGATGTGAACTGTTAAATGAAAATGCAATAAACCGTACCTTATGTACATACGTACGGAGAACTACACGTTCTAGTCACGATTTCGTACTGAATGTCTCATTCATTCACATCAACTTATTATTCCAATACTTAAATTTACAATGTCAAGTATGCGAGTATGACACCGAATAGATACAAGTCTTTAAAAAATAATAATTTAACTCTCATAACCACTAATCCGTGTACATTGTTTATGGTCACTCTAATCACTATCCATAGATTCCTGATCTGAGTCATCCTCTGCCTCACTCTCTTCCGAATCGTCATCAACATCTCTAAAGTTTCCTTCTGAGATGTCATCCATTAGTTTTTCAGAGGCTTTCAAGTCATTTTCTTCAGCCTCGGCAAGTTTCGTGGCATTATGCCACTCTGCCGGTGCCACAGATAGGATCCTTTCTTTGGCGATCTTCATCACACTTTCCACGTTTAACTGAAGATCGTTACCAATGTAATTTTTAACCGAACTAAGAATATTTTTTACCGGGTTTAAGTCAGGATGGCGCGCTGGGATACGAATAACTGTGTGTCCATATTCTCGTAGCAAAGAATCGGTCCTGTAATCACTAAATTTGTCTTTATTTAGCAAGACCAATTGATATAAATGAGGTTTGTACATGTCTGCAGAGTAAGGCACGTTTCTTGTTGTTAGATAATCCATCATTTCCTTCTTTTTAGAATTCGAATGCGGGCAAGGATTTAATATTCGATTGTGATAATTTGAGCCACCATCAACAATCACAACACTATTCGGTTTCAGACTTGGTAGTAAATGGAACTTGAACCACTTCTCGTATTGGTCAAAATTCTCCCTCGGGGACTCATTTTCTTCTTTCAAATCTCTTCTATTATTATTATACATGAATACTGTGTTTTTCATCAACTCGCTTTCATCTCCAGCTAATAAAATAATACATCTAAGTTTCGCTGGTTGCTTAAGTAAAGTTGAGCTTCCGTCCGATCTAGGTTTAGATGCTATGCGATTACTTTCAATAGCAATTTCACCTGTATAAACAATGTTCCGACCTTCATTCCTGTAACTTTCAATTTTGCTCAAATACTGCACTCTCGTGTACCTAAATTCATGTTTTTCTATTAAAATACTATTGTAATCATCTTTTTCCATCCATTTAAAACCTATCCTTTTAACATCACGTCTCAATGTACATAAAGATCCTTGATAATCAATGTCCCCTTTCAGTATAAAGTATAAATTTTTCATAATAGGAAATTCTTCATCGCGATGATAGAACCCGTATATTACCCGCCTTATTGTTTGTGCGGCATAGTCATCAACAGTGATATGATTCTTTATTCTGCGTTTAGTCGGATTACACTCTCTTTTCACAGCAACCTTGGCCTTGTATTCTGCTAACGCTTTTTTGATAGCGTTGACAGAAATGCCGGTCGAATGCGCCACGAGCTGCGTCGCTGTCACAGTGGAATTGGGGTCTCTTTCTATCTCTGTCTCGAAATATCTAAAAATTTTATAAAGCACCTCTTTAGTTTGTCCTTTTAACGGCTTCCCTCGACCCAGCTTCGATGTTGGGGCCATATTTAAGTATAACACTTAACAAATAACCACTATTTATTACACTACAATTTTACTACAATTTTGCTTAGAAATAACAAAAGAAAATACAAGTGAAGTTGATAATGAATGGCGAATGACTGACGTAGGGACGTCGCTGGAAACCGGCGAGCGCAAGCGAGATCACACTACATTTGATAACGAATGACAGAAAGAGATAGGTAGCAAGCTTCATTCGCCGGCCGGTCTTTAACACGTGTGAACCTAGCCACAAATTATGATAAAGCATTTTCAGACATTAGAAGACTATTTATATTGTTTTTTTTTATATACCTTGGAGTTTAGACGTGATGTGTTATTAATATTACAAATGGTTAATTGCACTATTTTTCAAATTGATGTTTTGTTATTGGTATCTTATCTACCTATTTACTTATATCAAACAATTTTGTCTCTATACAGCAAGAGTCAAAGGTCTTTTGAAGGACAATACATAGATCAAGGACAATCGATTTCACCAGCCGTCACTCCTTGTGCAAGAATTGCAAAACTAAACACGCAACTTATATACTTTATGTACTAAGCGTCAATGTAAGGTTTATTTTTAATTCATGATAGACGTTGATGCGATTGCCGAACTGTCTAGATAAATGGAATATACTCAAGTTATATAAATTACAATTTCGTCATAATACTGGCAACGCTATCTATTGTCGAGTAGTAACAACTTTAGCCAGAGTTTACAAACGTTTGGAAAAATCATTGCTTCCATAAAATATTTTATTCTTATGAATTACTCGGGTTTTAGACAGGTGCGACGATCATACTGCAGAGTTTGCACTATTATTCATTCAAATATACGTAATTTGTAAAGAAGCTGGCAGATATTGTCTGATAAGCAAATATCAACACGGTGTATTTAATTTAATATTATATACCAGTGTTATTTAAAATTTTATGTATCAGCAGGTACTTTAGATTTTGTTTTTATCAATTAGCAAACTATTTTTATACAGGCCTGAATTGGTACCTATTCAATTTCTATCAGATCAACTGTTTGTTGAAGTAAATAAATTAATAAAAAACAAATCTGTGAGTGTGGCCTAGTTGATGGTCTAAAAAAATATCAAAACAAATCTATTCTGTATATTTCAAAATTAAGTTCAATATGGAAGTTCTTAGTTTTCGATACTAGTATTTTTATAATTTTTATTCATTTTCATTGCTAAATAATAATAAAACATGATATGATAAGTTATAACTGCCTCCGTGGCTGAACGGTTACCATGCCGTACTGCCACGCAGAGGTCCCAGGTTCGATTCCCGGGCCGGGAGAAATATTTGCAAGGCCTACATTTATTTCTCTCGTGAGTTTGGGTGTAATTTGTGGTTGTCTATGTGTGTCCATGGCACCCGCGACACAGGGTTTCCCTAGTGCGGGGCTATGTCGAGTGTGTGCGTTATTATTATTATTATTATTATATTATTATTATTAAATGTGGCAGTGTTTGGCAGATTAGGGAATATTCGGGAAGTTCTTTATTATTTTAGGGAACAAACTGAAAACTTGTTATTTTCTGTTACTATGAACATACATCTGACGCGAAATACAGGACAATGTTATAAACATAACCTATATCAACTTTATACCCCAACTTCTACAGGCTGTACTCAATCAACTTTTTTGATGTTTTGATAATGAATCACAAGCATCGATAGATCTCTTTCATACACGTCATCAAAAACACTGGGTCTTAAAATACATGGGATGTCGCCGTCCTTCTTTAGTGTAGCAAAACCTTGAACAGAATAAAATGTTAACAATTCAATCATATCCAAATGTTGATGACAGCTGCGTTCTAGACTAATCTCTGGCAAGTGTACGTGTGGCTCCTAGTCGCGACCATTCAAGAAAACAGTTTCTGGATGTTTCGCGGTTGTGCCAGAGATGGCGCTCGCTTATATAAATACATTGCTTACGTACACCTTGTATGTCATTCGTTCGTTTACAAGACTCGAGTGAGCTAGTTCGGTGACCGGCGTCTTTTTACAGGTGAATTCCTCAGCGAATCGTGTTTTGTTAAATATTCCAGTTACCTGTGTATTGTGAACTAATAAAAATGGCTTTCCTTCCTCTGTATATCGAGTATGAGCACCCAAGGCAGCGGCCAATACGCCCTCGTCAGCTGTCCGACCAACATTTTGGCTTGACACCTCAAGACGTTTTGACTATTTTGGCTCTACCTCAAAGTAACCATGGCTACCTGCGCAATTTAAGGAACCTTCAAGCAGCTAATCAAGATGTTGGTTCATCGATAAAGGAAGACAAAGACAAGTTCCAAATAAATTTGGATGTGCAGCACTTTGCACCTGAAGAAATTTCGATAAAGACCGCTGACGGGTATTTAATCGTTGAAGCCAAGCATGAAGAGAGACCGGATGAACATGGATTCATTTCGCGGTCGTTTACGAGAAGATATGCTTTGCCAGAAGGCGTTGAAGCCGATTTAGTGACTTCAAGGTTATCTTCCGATGGTGTCCTATCGATTGTTGCGCCTCTGAAAGCACCCCCTAAATCGGCAAACGAGAGAGTAGTTCCTATTATACAAACTGGCCCAGTGAAGAAACGGGAGCAAGAACAAATTGAAGGAGAACAAAAGCAAAGCTAAGCTAGTACCATAGATATCGTTGGCTAAACTTAACTGTAACAACTATTTGATAGTCATTCCGTAAACCTTAATGCATTTATATTTTGTTTAACTGTGATCTTTTTTGTTGTGTTGTTTTTCGTTAAGCATTATTAAACTATAATAATACCTACATGCCTTGTTTTCTTTATAATGTTATGCAATTAAAATCTTTTATTTCCGAGTTTCAATAGGAATATCAATATCAATTGTGCTTAAAAGAAAGAGACAAAATACATTTCTAGAGCCATCTTTCGGGTATCTCTAGAAACGTAGAATAGGTTTAATTCGCGTCATAGCTTTCATTCGCGTATCTTCGCTGAAGTTCGTCTACTCACCGCTAGATGGCATTTAGAATATTCCCGAAATTTCCTTTAGTGTTGTTCGTTTACATGGTTGCAACTTGCTAAAAATATCAAAAATCTATTAGAATTTATGTATGATCGTTTAAAAACAAATGGGTATCTTCCATAACCCGTTTCGATAGCGTTCGTACCACATTAAAAACATGTTCAACGACAAGACAACACGTTCTTGTCTGATCAGCCCCCTAGGTTTCGTACGTCTTATTCCAGCGTGACCATGGTCGAGTTTTGAAAATTTGGTTAGCCAGAAAAAAGTTCGCTATTTAGTCGGTTCTAGTCGCAAAAAACTAGATTTGAAAATGACTTGCGCTATAAATTATAATAGTCATTCTCAGTCAGTCATTATTCAATTAAGTCATTCATTCATTATTAAATTATTCTGATCAATTGTCATATGCGACTGTGTACTCCACGCGACTCGTTCGTCTGGTGTAAGTCAGGAGCCCAACACGACATACACACACTAATAAATATAAGTTATGACAATTGATAAATCCTAATGCCATTAAGGAAAAATAACTGTATATTTTTGTGTATCAAAAACTAAACATTAATAAAACATGTATAAATACATGTACAAATAGCATGTATTACAAAAAAATAAACAACAAATTCTGTATACAAAATACAAATAATACTAACCGACTAATTCACGACTATTTCTGGGTGCAATCAGATCTAAGCTAGGAGCTGTGGTGCTCAAGATTCAAGAATGGTGCCGCCGGAATTTATTTGGGTGAATTTCACTTTTCGAATTTCAATGGCACTTTTAGAGTTACTTTTGTTAAACCCTTTTTTCTTTTGGTTTTAAGATCTTAAACGTACAAATAAGTTCAAGCAATGTCAATAATTATAAAATCACAGAAATATATAAGTTATGTAAACAAAAAAAAAACCCGATATTTTAGATCACACGAATGAGATTGCAGTAACACGAATGATTTTCTCATAAACATAAATGAGAAAGACGGCACAGTAATGAGAAATTATTATTACAACACGCATTTTATCGTTCACAAAAGAACATTTAACATCATTTAACATGTAACAAATATTTTAATATAATATCCTGTATCAAAATCCTTCTCATCCGTGTAAGACCATCTTATCAATTTATATGTAATTAATAAATATCTCTAAATAAGTATTTTGTTAATGTCCTATAAACTTTGTTGTACGTCAATATATCATCATCACCACCATCAACATCATCATCATGATCACTATTATCATCAGCATCATTACCATTCACATCATCATCACAATCATCGTTATCATCACCACCATCATCATCGTCACCACCGTCACCACCGTCACCACCACCACTATCACCATCTAATTGTTATATTTCGAGTAAATGTTTGGCTTAAAGTAACTATTTGACTTAAAAGCAGACAAAAATGAGAGCGACAGTAATGATATTTGGATACATTTTTAATTATCAAGTGTGTAAAATATGCTGGACCGTATAAAAGTGCATGGATTTTAAAGTTCCCTTTGTCTGATTGATGTACAATAAAGTTTATAAAACTATTACTTAATACTCATTTAGATAGATTGCTTTACATGAATGAGAACGATTTAGTCACTGGCGCTGAAATTGGTATTTAAGTCGATTTTTTGCTAAAACGGAGATGCACAGGTTACTTCACTGTGTGCAATCCAATCCGACAGGAGCCCCTTCTCACGTGCGCGACTGGTGCAGGTGATGCGGTATGAACTTTTGTTATTAGGAGGCTTTTATTTGAAGTGACACTAATGATAAGAAAAATTGAAACACATTTTGTATTCCCAAGAAAACATGTTTGATTATTATAAATTGGAAAGTTACGGTATGTATTCGACGTGAAAGTTATTAGAGTTTATCCTCGATGGGAAATATTGCGATTTTCACGAGTGTTTAATTTTTTTCTTCTTTTCTTAAAATTAGGGCAACTTGGAACCGGCTCCCATGAATGAGAAATTGCCCACTTTTTAATTTTTATTTATTACTGTGACGTAGTAAAGCAGTCTTTTTATGTGTAACATAGACTAAGTAAGCAAGCAATCATATTAAATAAATAATGCTTAGCATTCTTGTAATAACATAAAAGTTATTGAACGGGACACATTTTTGGAGGTTATCTGAAAACGATCCATTTCAGCGTGGACAGTAAAACACCTCTAATAACTTCAAAACGGCGTACGTAACGACTAAATCTAGTTTTTTACGACTAAATCACGACTTTTTTAGTGTAATCAGATCTAAGCTAGGTTGTGGTTCTCTTTGTCTAGACTGAGAAATGGTGTGAATTTCCGATTTAATTTTGTTTTCCATGAAATTTGTGAAGTTTTGCTAGTCTTTTCAATAGATAGTAATTTTGTTCAATGGTAATATATTTATTCATAGGGAATGTGGAGTATTACGGCAAAGAAAAGACCAAAAAAAAGAGAAAAAGAGAGTTGTATTTTTCGTACTAAAATTGTGCCGAAAGTTGGATTTTTCGCACTAGTGCTTTTCACTTTTCCATTTTTTTTAAATTTACTGTTGTTTCAAGTCTTAAACATAGAACTAAAGAGGTTGTATATTTATTTAATATTTATGTGCTTTGTGACGTAAGTCATTCGTCATTAAAACTTATATTTACTTACAAAACATCTTATTTGTTTAAATTGCACAGGTGTTTTATAAAACAACGGGTTACATTTAAAAATATCAATATATCTTCCATAAAGATGGCTGATTGAGTATTAACAATAACCGGAGGTGAGTATTACGCGAGACCGCTGCGCGCTGCGCCACTGCAATATACGGTTTTATTTTACTTTCAAAGTAGATTTTTCGCAAATGTATTGAAAACCGTCGTTTGATACACGTGCGAATTAGTCATTTTAACTTGTCTCGAGTCTTGATCCTCGCCTCTGGCTCGGGTCAAGAAGCGTCGAAACTCGAGAATAATGACTAACTTTCCGCACTTGTATCAAAAATAACTAGTTTTTTCACCCGTGATACGGTACCAAATATATTTCAATTTTCCCGCGTTTCTCCAGTCTCAACTTTCGTTAGACAGACAAGAAAGTCCCGTCACTTGATATTATATAAAAAAAAGTTTTTGCTAGGTCTGTGGATTTTTCTTATGTTTTTGTGATTCGCTCTGGACCTTTTGGAAGGAAAAGTGTCGTTTTTATTTTGACTTTCAATTATTTTGTGAAATCTAGTTTAAAGTGGAATGGGATAGTGCTATTGTGCCTTAATCGAAGATTAAAACGCGAATTTATACGAATCTCGAACTAAAATACCCGTATCGGCCCGTTTTAAGGAATCCCGAGTCAATCCAAGCACGCCGCCTCAAATTGCCTATCCTCTTTGTGGCGGCCATATTTACGGAAACATATTTAAACTTCATGTTTAGGCTGATGGCTTTGCCAAAGCCTTAATAAAAGAAAATAAAAATATGTTTTTGTGTTTTATTATATTACTGACAATGTCATAGATGAAATATTTTACCCAGGATGATAATAATATACTTTGATTGGTACAGTCCAGCCTGAAAAGTGTTTTCTCACCTCACTAGCTCGAAAAGGCTTTCTTTCTCATTAGAAATCTGCGCGCAAAAGCGTTTCTTGCACGCTAACGAGGAAAAGGTTTTTGAAATTCAAACTTGACGATGGACTGTGGTGCACCTAACTTTTTCTTTCGATGAAAAGATAATGGCGCATTCAACTACGCGATTTGTCATGACTTATTTATGCAAAATAAATCCGTTGGTATATTTTATTCTTATTATTGTTGATATTAAATTGACAATGATAACTAATTCTGTTTATTAAATTATTTTAATTCGTCGAAGAAGCAAAATAATTTCAATAATCACTTATTCACACAAAATAAAAGTACAAGCAAGAATGAAAATTTAACTTTTTCTTTTCAATAAAAAAGGTTTTACAGTTCAGCCGTTTTCTTTCATCTACCATTTTCCTCGCTACAGTGAGGTGAACAGTTGTGTGTTTCGCTCGGCAGCAAATTTGTTTTGCGTCTCGTGCCTTGAAACCCTCGCTACGCTCAGAAATCTATTTTTGAATCTTAGGGCGTATTTCAGAACTGTAATCAATGCTCAAGTCAGGATTTGAGCAGACACGAGTATGATTTCAAGCACTGGAAATACGACCCTAATGGCAAGGACTTGAGTATGATTTTCAGTGCTCACTGCAATACTCAAGTCCTGACTTAGCATTGAGTAGAGTTCTGGAATACGACCCTTAGTTTCCTTCGCTTGTTCAGGTTTCAATACAAGCACTCAATACACTCACTCAAACAACAACTTTGCAGCCTTGCGTAACAAATAATTATTACTAGACAGGAAATTTGGTTTCTTGTTGACTTAGTAGTTCGTCCGTTTTCGATGGCACTCGTCTTTCCTCAGACTTCGGTTTGTGGTTTCGTAGCAGGTCAGAAATGGTGTCATATATTAGTTTTACCTTGTCAAAGGCTTTGTTAACAACGTACTCACTCGTCATAACATCACTGAGCTCGGTCTCCAGCTGTTCGTGGTTGTTCACGAACTCCTCCCACGGGTCATTTAGAGCATCTAGCCGTTTTGTATTGTAGTTTTCAGTCTTGCGACTTGCTGAATATTTCTTAATAGTCATTAGAATCTTTTCAATCGACTGTACGATTGTCTCTTGTCTCTTCAAAGTTTCCATGTAGTTTTGTATATACGTAGGATGTAAGTATTAATTTGTTGGTATGCTTTGTTGGTGCTACCGTATTTTTTTTGTCTATAATATGTGCGCCTTTTCAATTTGATTGGTGAGACCCGTTTGCGGGAGGCCAACCAAACCGATTCGCTATCCTAGCTAAAATAACAAATAACACTGTAACTTCAAAGTGCAGAAACGAAGTTTCGCGTAGGTCCAAAAAAAAATTGCTCGAATGCATTGACTTACAATTATATGGACGTCGGGTCCGCGCTAAAAAGTGTCCGCACTTATAAGGCGCTAAAATCGTATACAGAGCGCCAAACTCCGCTTTAGTCTTCATTTGTTCGACTGACAGCGCGATACTGCGATGACATTACAATTTAAATTTCGAATAGGTTGACTTGGGACATTTTTTTCGTGGTTTTTGTATTAGACCCGTCGTCCATTTATTTGTAAGTCAATGCTCAAATGATAAAAAATGTAATAGGTTTAATGTTCTGTGACCATTACTTGTTTGTTGTTGTTAATGTTAATTTTTTGTTTGTAGAAAGGAAATGTTTTGTTGAGTAGGAATACGTGTGTTCATCTTGAAGGTTTATTTCATACTAACTTACAGCTAACGCATGTTAAATGTTATATACGTAAAAATAACTTAAAATGCATAAAAATGTAAATTCAGTTGTTTTCGTATTTTTGTATGTATGCACTTTATTTGAATAATAGAAATATATAAAAAATAAAATGTATGAATTCGTAGACTGAACTAGAATCAGGATGAACGTATCATAAATTCTGTCTATGTAATCTTTTTTCTTCTAGTTAAACTCTTTAGTCAGTATGAACTGGCTACGTTGAAAAACAAAAAGTTTTAAAAATAGAATAAAATAATTTTCGAAAACGTCATTCATTTGTCGTTTGCAGCGTCAGATTGAAATTTAAAATTTCTTGCCATAAAATAGTAAATTATGTCTCTACTTCCATATTTATTGGAACGTCGACGCGCTTTCGAATTGGGCTACGACGACGATTTGCTGCATGCGGTGACGTCGTCCCTGATGAGTGGTGATGTGCCATGGCGTACTGTTTCTCAAGGTTTCTATTGCATATTATTGTATCTGAACAGCCGTGGCAGCATTCATTTGGCCTATAGGCTCTCTAGGAGAGGCCGTAGGTTCGAATCCGAGTTCGCACGTCAGAGATTCTTGGAATTTATGAGCGAAATTTTATTTGAAATTTGACATAAGCTTTTCGGCGAAGGAAAACGTTGTTATGAAAGATGAAACCTTCAAAACTCGTGAAGTTGCCAACCCACATTGAGTTAGCGTAGCGGACTACGGCTTATAACCCTCACTTGAGAGATCCGTGCCCAGCAGTGGAACGTATTAATTGGTGGATGACGTACTTGGAATATACTTGTGGTAAATTCGTCGACGTTGTTCTTACCCCGATGGGATAAGGGCGTGAATTGTATGTATGTACTACAATGTTTTACCGAGGTACTTACTACCTATGACGTGTGTGTGATTAAGTGAGACCCTCTGTAAAATGTTTAAAATGTATTAGTTATTTAGTAAAAGTTCTAAAACAATTGTAGAAACCAATCTTTCTATTTGTAAAAAGATAAGACAAGAGAAAAATAACTTAATGTGTGCTCACTCAGTTCTCACAGAGGGCCAGTCTGATCTACAAAAGAATTAAGTTTACATATAATATTATTGTGCTAGTTTTTAGTAAAAGTTTAGTTGAACTATCGTTTTTAATTACAGATCGATTAGTGCCTTTTTCAATTTTTTACAAATACTCTCTTATGCTCACTCAATCCGCACGTTTTTAAAAGGAACGATTTCTTAAGAACCAAATAAGTGGATGAAATTTCGTTTGTGTTGATTTAGTAAAAGTTACGTTTGAATTTGTAAAATATAAAACAAGGCACTAATGTGAAACGTTTTTGAATAATAAATATTATAACAAATGTTAGTGTAGTAAAAAATATTACAGAGATTATATTTGGTAAAGTTTTAGTAGTAATTTACTACTAAATAGCTACCTTGATTATTTAATTAGGAAGATATTAGTTTTTTTTAATATAGGTATGAAAATGTATAAATGCAAGTTCCATAAAAATGAGATGGTCATAAATTAATATCATTAAAAAAAGTATGAGGGAAAAAAATTGGCGCGAGTTTGTAGTTACAGTTCATAAACGAATTTAAAACAAATTTAAAACTTGAAATATGAATAAACATGATTTTAACAGGCACTTAAATCACTGTGTAATTGGTGCTTAGTGCCTTAAACATTTATAATTTTTAGTAACTATTACGCGTTCGTAGCACTCAAAAACAATAAAGAAAAAAAAATAGCCGTGGGATGTTTGAGACATGCGCGTCTAAAAGTATCAAATTTTTCACGCCTGAAATTTTGGTGAAAGCAAATATAATTATTTTTATAATTTCTAAGTAAAAATTTCGAAGAATTTTGAAGTAAGTTTTCTCCAAAATCGTATAAAATTACCTTCGTTAAGCTTCCGTTGGGATGCAAACTGCCTCCGTAGTAGAACGGTTACCATGGTGTAACAATGAGGTCACGGGTTCAATTCCTGAGTCGAGAGAAATATTTGTACGGTCTATATTTATTTCTCTCGCGAGTTTGGATGTAATTTGTAGTTGTCTATGTGTATGTCCATGGCACATGAGTGTGTGCGTTATTATTATAATTGTATTAAAACGCATTACTTGTTAAGTTTCACTCGAATTGTCTGGTCTGTGCACAGGTTTAACTCACACGTCAAAGAACAAGTTTCAAATAAACCTCGACGTGCTCCACTTCTCGCCGGACGAAATCTCTGTACGGACGGACGGGGGGTTCGTTATCGTGGAAGGCAGGCACGACGAGAAACGTGATGAGCACGGCTGGGTGGCACGCCATTTCACGAGGAGGTAATTATTGGGGAAAACGCGTTTGTTATCAACGAATTGATTTTTTAAAGTCCCAAATAAAGGGCAGGCCACACCGCAAACGAAGCTAGCTCACTCAGCTCACGTAGTTGCATGCACAGGTAACCTAAGCTAATACGTAGTAATTAGTGACTATGGATACGTGCGGGAGTGAAGGGCGGCAGAAGGGCGACATATTTTACATAGCTAGTGGGATCGTTGTGTTATAGTTTAGTTAGCTCGGTTAGCCTAGTTCGCGGTGTGAACCTAAGTATGAATAGATGCTCTGGCTACGTTAAGTCGCGTATTTACGCGCGCCTCCGCCAGGCGAAGGAAGCTGCGCCGCCGGAAGTGCGGTGGCAGGAGAGCCGACGGGCGTTCGCGAAGTGGCGCGAGAGGCTGGAACCTCGAAGTCCGGTTGAGCCGGCGGAAGCGTCACCACGTTCCGACTGACACAGACACTCACCGGGCACGGGTGCTTCGGTGAGCATCTCAATCGGATCGGACGCGAGTCGACGACGCAGTGACACCATTGTGGGAGGAACCAGGATTCCGCCCAGCACACGCTGGAGGCCCACCTCCGCGTGGAACATCCTGGTTGCTCAGGTCGGGCGAGATCTCTCTCCGCCAGGCATAGTAACGGCTATGTTGGCGGATCAAGAGTTCCATGAGGTAGTACTAGTGGCTTCTGTGAAGCGGTGATGCTTCAGAAGGAGGTCGCTGGGCGTGGTCGGAAGAGGGCCGATTCCGCTCGGCGGCGGCGTACCTTAGGCAGCCGCGAGGAGAACGACGGGGCGATGTGGCCCGCTTCGCCGTGAGGTGAGGAGGGGGAGGACGTAGCTCCTCCTAGATGTTGGGGGGTTCCGGTGCGCAAAGTCGATCCCGGATCCTTCCCACTGGAGCACCCGAGAAGGCCACCGTGAGGTTTTAGCCGGCATAACCTTTTTGCTGCCCCCGCGGCGGAGAGGTATCCTAGGAGGATTTCCTCGTGCAAACAAGAAAAAAATAGCTTCTTTCGCAGTGTGGCTTGCGCATTCGATGCTTAAATTAAGATATTAACTCAAAAGTACATAATAAATTTACGGAATCATCACACTTCGTTTCGTTGAAATATTTTGTACAAACGGTCAAAAATATTTGAAAGAAAATTTCAAAAACGTACCTGTAGTTCCATTAAGCACACGTGCTGCCTCTGAAGAGTGCCCTTGCCCATCAGAGTGATGTATATGGGGTCAAATGGCTTGGCAGCGCGGTAAGCGGAATCACCCCTGTAAAATTCTACATAATAGATTCATATCTCATCGCAGTCAAAAAATATCAAATATTTGGCCTACCGTGTCCTAAAGGTGATGGTTTAAAAGTATGCATTTCCAAAATGTGATTTCGTGTAAGCGTTTCGTGATTACTCCCCCTTCTTCTGATGTACAGTTTTCTTCACAGAAGTACCGAGTTCTTTATTCCACTAGTTCTGTGATATCTATAATAAGATTCCGATTAATATCCAAAATTTGCCATTTATGAGGTTTAAAACTATTGTGAAACAAAAACTGTATACTTGAGGTTATTATACAATTTCTGCGTACTGCGGACCCGTTCTGCTCTTGCAGGTATTTTCGATCTTAGATGTTTAAATTAAATATTGTAATGATAAATGTATTCAAATGTATATTTACAAAGACCAACCGCTAGAGTTTCTCGCTCATTCTTCTCAGGGAAATCTGCCTTACGAATGAGCAGTAGAGTTTAATCAACATGTCGATTTCAAGTCTAATTTGCTTACCTATGAGATTTGACTTTTAAATATAAATGTTGTGAAAATAAAATTCGCCACATTTTTGTCATGTTTTTTAAAAAGAAAAAGGGACAAAATAATGTTGCCAAGTGAAAAGTAATCAAGTGGTCATCTTTTTTTGTTTGTTTTTCTGTTGATTTTGAATGTCCATCGGAGCTACTTACAAATGTTCCTTTTGCACATAAATGTAGATCTACAAACACAAATTACACTGCTACACATATTACACATCCACAATTTAAATTACTCCCTCCCATCAAACTTTTACTGTTATGCGCACTATGATTATATAGTAACTCCTACTACTATCTCGAAATCGTACCTATATTACTTCATATTGTAAACTTCTCATTCCATAGCGATTTATAATGCATGTTTTATATATATGAACACATTTTTGTGTATTTCTTTTGTCTTATTAAAAAATGACTAATACAAATAATCTATTGACATACCTATATTGATAATACGTTAATTTTTGAATCTTATTTCTGTTCTCCTGAAGATTGCGTAAATCTTCTAAAAAGCTCAATTTTATCTCCCAGAATATCCGTAGCATAAATGCTAACATGCCGAGCCTGCTAACACTACTTCGGAGAGTGCCAGTGCATTGCGATTTGATCATTCTCTCTGAGTGCTGGCTATCTCTTAACCCAAATATTCCTACACTACTTGGATATAACGTACATAAATCGTCAAAATTATATAACCAGAATGATGGCCTTGTGCTTTATGTTAATAGCGCCTATAGTAATGTTACAGTGGAGGAACCGTCAGTGTCCGAATTCAACTGTTTGTTAATCAAATTTGGTACTCATCTGGCTGTATACAGACCACCCGCATTTGCTAACATTGATAATTTTCTGATCTAATTGGGTCATGTTCTCGGTGACCTATCGATTTTTGGTACCGTTGTTATTATTGGAGATTTGAATATTGACATCACACCAACTAATTCCGATACCGGTTCTCTTGACTACCAGGACCTCATAGCTCATTATGGCTTATACCCAGGATATTTCTTGACTACGCGGCAGGATAGCGGAACGTGTATTGACCATACTATTTTGAGAACTGCTTTCGCGGCCACAACTCTAGTCCTGGACACAACGGTTACTGATCACTATCTTTGGAAATTGGTAGTATAATCTCAAGTCGCAAAATCTCTAAGATCGACTTTGTAGGACTTGATGAGGCTTTTAATCAAATAGTTTTTGACAAAGTGTACTCCGTTTCTGATGTAAATATTGCTACTCAATTTTTGACAGATCCCATTCGTCTAGCGATTAAAGCGTGCACTAAATCTCATTATGTATCTCGTAGACGAAGAGCATTGAAGCCATGGATTGCTCAGGGCTTAATAAGATGCATGCGTCACAGAGACAATTTACACAGGAAACTAAAGAAACATCCTAATGACGATATCCTCAAAGTCTCCTATAAGAGATATAGAAACTTTTGCAATCCCCGCTTAAAAAAAAGCAAAAAGGGACATTGAACGGGCAGAAATCAGAAAGGCTTGTGGAAATGGGCGACAACTATGGGAGGCCATTGGTAAAGTTACCAATGTAACTAAAAATAAAGCTGTGAATGATTCACTATTACACGTAGGAAACACACCTCAGGACTCTATAGATATGGTGAACCATTTCTATGTGAACGCCGGTCCTAATCTAGCACACTCCGTCATGCAAGCCTGGCGGTCTAATCCTAGTCGTTACTTGGTTGAACGATGTAGTGGTGATTCATTTGTTTTATTGGAGACGAATGAACAAGAGATAGAGCATTTAATTAACACTCTAAAAGCAGATTGTGCAATAGGATGGGATGGTATTTCTGGAAATTTATTAAGACGATACAAACACCTTATTATACCGCCGCTCACTTGTACACCCAATTTACAAGGCGGGGGATCGAAAACTTTTAAACAATTATAGGCCCATCTCTGTCCTGCCAGCCTTGTCAAATCCTCGAGCGCATTCTAAACAACAGGTTGGTAAATGATCTGGAAACTGGCCAATTTCTATCAGATAACCAGTACGGGTTTCGAAGGGGTAGATCCACTTCTGACGCAGTCCATAATTTGGTCGATCATGTTGTTGTCACCTTGGATAAGCGGAACTGCCATGTTTAGTTAAACAATCGTTTAAAGGGCAAACGACATTTAACATGCACAAACTAGATACGTAAAAATACAGGTACTTATTTAATTAATTGAGGCGTCGCAACTACACTATTAGAGTTTTAAGATTTAAACTTTATGAAGATTGCATAATATATAAATGCACAATTTTCCTGAGCAATAACAATGAACGATTCGCTATAAACTCTGTCATCTGCGAAATCACACTTACAATTCTACAATCTGTTAAGTAATAGTTAGTGTTTCTTGTGCATAATCTGACATACTTATAAAATAGATACGTTATACTCATGGCTCAATAATTAACCACGAGGACGTTAGCTGTAGATTTTTTACTTTATCGATTGTTTAAATAAATCATTATACAGTAATAATTATATTTGCAAATATCGACACAATATGATTTTTTCAGTGCGCAACACTAGTAACGCGTGCCTAATGAATAGAATGAGATGACGTAATGGGAGTTGCATTAGGTGGGAATAAGACGCATAAACGATTTGAAACAATTGATGAGTGTCGTCAATTAATTCACTTCAAATCGACCATTTTAACTTGAGCTATGCTATAATGGACGAAAATTTAAAAATTGCATATTTAATATTTAATTACCGATGAAATGTTATTCCGTTTGTTTTATAATTAGATGTTTTGCTGTTTTTCCCATACCACTGAATACAACAGCATGCTATTGTTAGAGATATTATCTTTATTATAATAAATACATAATATATTTTTTGGAATTTACTGCGACTTAACAGGTCAGTTGTTGGCGCTGTACTATTTCAGTGCAAACGAGAGTTGATATTTAGAAGTGATGTATCACTGATAAGTTACCAGGAATGCATGGCCCTTATTTTGTCTCATTTCTGGTTATATACTCGATGATTGAATATCACTATATAAGATATATATAATATAAGTAAAACACTTACCATGGTATTAATTTATTTTTCTCAAAGAGGCAAAGAGTGGTTTGCCCCAGATTGGCATACAGACTTAGGTATACAGACTTAGGTTCGTGTCCTGTCAGATCGAAGAAATATTTCTTTGTGTTCGGTCTTTGTATTGATAATTTATTATAAGGAACTAGTGGTGTAATTTGACAAAAAAATAATATAATACGATACAAATATTCTTTATTGCACATGGACAAATACATAATAATACAAGAAAGTAAAAATGGCAGGCACAACGGGCGGCCTTATTTCTAAATACAAACAAAAAAAAATGTCATGGCAGTAAAATTATTTCATGATATCCAATAAAATCGACATTACTATTACTACAGCGACATCTCACGTCAATCTTCGGTATTAACCTTTGCAATAATCGTTTTTAATGTTATTTTGTTTTTCGAAGGTATGCTCTTCCAGAAGGCTGTACTGAAGATTCGGTCCAGTCTCGCCTGTCCTCTGATGGTGTTCTGACAGTGACGGCGATGCTGGACGCGCCACAGGCTAACGAGCGCGTCGTGCCCATCGTTTGCACTGGGCCGGTGCGACAGCAGGGCTCGGACGTTAAGCTATAAAGCCTTCGCTTGACGGTTTATGCCAATAAAATTAAGTTTGCTTAAGATTTTGTTTTTTTCCGTAAAACACAAGGTAGGTAGAATAGTTATTAGAATTTCTCTTGTTAGGTTTCTTTTCCGCATATTATATTAACCTACTAACAAAATGTTCGCATACAATTTCGGCGGTTTAGAGCCACAATGAGAAATTACCACAAAAATGGTCACGTCTCAAATTGATCATTTCTTGAATTGAACTAGAATTGACCACTTCTTGAATTGACTACTTCTTGAAATTATCATTTTATTTTTTAATTATAAATTGGGTTTTTACTATTTTTAGACCCTTTCGCCAAATTACATGCCCAAACATGTATCTAAACTAAAAACAAACTTATTTGCCTATTTTTGGCAAATGGTTGCGAAATCCAGTTGCGATGGACGGAGAGTCGTTACGCTCCAGGGCGATAATAATCAATATCTAATGTATGTCCTCTAAACTTGTGGTAATGCTCCTAATCCGGAACCGACACATATTGTATTGTAGACATGGTCAAAGCAAGAAGAAGCCATTTCAAAAAGTGACCATTTCAAGAAAAGTTCTTTTGTAGAAGTAGCATTTAAAGAAATGGTAATTTCAAGAAGTGGTTATATGCAGATGTCATTTCTAATTGTGGTCCTAAACCGCCGAAAGGACTGAGTCAATCAGCATTAAAAAAATTGCATCAATTCTTGTGAGCAACTCACACTTGATTAAAAAATGAAATTGCCTATTTCAATTTTGCTTTCGCAGAATGACCTAAAAGTTCCTAAGACAGTTGCTTGTGGAACCAGTGTGGACCAACAGTCTGAAAGGTATATATGTTTTCGGGTTTCCACATACCATCCCCGCCAAAAGAAACACTATTCCTACTCATTTGTAGACCATGAGCTTATAGTTTTTCTGTCCTCTAAGGTTTATACCTTAGAGGACGGAAAAACCATAAGCTCATGGTGACTATAAAGTCACATTCGTCGCTAGTTGAAAGAGGAATAGAAGGAGGATGTAATAGTCTAGAAGGCAGGCAGGGCTTTCTTTATCCTGCATTGCAGTCCGCCTTGCGGGCGGATAGTGTACGAGCAGTCTCCTACCTGCGCGGTGGACTGCCATGCAGGTAGTGAAAACGTTTAAGGTAAGGCATCGAGTATATAACCAGAAATAGAGACGAAATGTCATTTAATTTGTTTGAAAACTATTCATTCAAATCATTATGGTGACAACTGCGCTCCGATTGGTCGGCCCGGATTCGAAACAATTGATGGGTGTCGTCAATTGTTTCACTTCAAATCGATCAGTTTAACTTGAGCGTTGCTTTAATGGACAGAAATTGAATAATTACCGATGAAATGTGATTCCGTTTGTTTTGTAATTAAATGTTTTGCTGTTTTTCCTACACCACCGAATGGAACAGCCCCCCATAGTTACAGATATTGTCTTTATTATTATAAAGATAAAGAATATTTTTGGAATATACGGAGACGTAAACACAAGTCATTTGTTCGCGCTGTAGTATTTCAGCTTTCTAATTTGTGATTTCAGTGCAAACGAGAGTTGATATTTAAAAGTGGTATAAGGCCCATTTGCCTGATGAGGTGCCAGGGATGGGTGGCCCTTTTTTCGTCTCTATTTCTGCTTATATAGTCGATGCCTGTGGTCCACCGGATATGCATGTAAAATGTTTTCTTCTTGGGACCGCTAGAGGGCGCTGTACAATTTGCTATATAAAATTATCAAATACTTCGCTTGCGTCAACTGCAGTAAGCTCATGGTAGAGGCTCTGATTGGCCCTCTGTGGGAACTGAGTGACCTCACATTTTTTTGTTTTATCTTTTTACAAATAGAAATATTGGTGTTTTTTATATAATACCAAGTGATGGAGCGAACAAGTCGTGCGCCTGGTGACAAGCGACACGCCGATCCACAACAGTTGCAGTACCAGAGCCCTAAATCGCAAAGATCTGAGGGGCACGGCCACTGCGCCCTGAGACATAAGTTGACAAGTCCCATGTGCCTGTAATTTCACCAGCACCCTTCTAAACGGCCGTTTCACAATTGATTCATTACTAAATGACTATATATTTTACAAAATTTCTTCAAAGGGGGCTCAGGGCTCACTGAATACACACACAACTCTTTTTATTATTGACTTTATACACATAAAATGTAATATACATATAAAAGCGCAACATCTTGTTATTTGCTTGTATACTTGCACTTAAGCCTTGTGCTTATCACATTCGGTCGTCAATAAACAGTTCGTAGAAAATCATTTGATTTGTTTTTATGCTTCACAAACATCCCACAAATAAAATTAACGGGAAATTAGTTAATACCACATTATCTTTGTTTACCTATAATTATGATACAGAGGTCGATTGAGAGATAAGTTAAGGCGAGGTATTTTAACGTGAGCTTAGATTTTATGAGGTCAGGTGTCCCCACACCTCCCGCCCCTCCCTTTCCGCAACCCGCGCACTTAAAATTAATATGAATAATATAAGAACAGGCGGAGAAAATTTGACACACATTTAGTAACAAGGAAAACAAACAAGAGGTACTGCTTATTTCTAACAGCAATTTCTTCATGAAGACATAAATACAGGAAACAATACTTATAACGCCTTTTCGTGTATAAGTAAATAAAAATTATATAACAAAAAAAAAATCAAAAACATTAAATTATTAAAACTATAAATGCTTACATAAATACATATTTTGTACTATAATATCTATAAAATGGATGGAACTGTCGATAAACAGTGCTCCTTAGCTTATTATTTTGAAAATTGCTAAGGATTTGCTATCATGAATAGTTCAGGACAGATTCTAAAGTCTGACCGCATGAACAGTGAAGGAGTGAGAATAAAAACCAGAATTGAAGGATGGAAAAGATCAGGACTTATCCTGGAGTCTGAGAAAGCTGAATCGCTCTTTTAGATACTCGGAAGATATAGGGTTGTGCAGAATATTATAGAGACCGGACACAGTAAGCAAATTCTTATTTTGATTCTTAACGCTGATCAATAGATGGTACTAAGCAAACCCACGATGCGATTGTAATCATATTCAATAAGGCCAACAGATGGCAGCAATCACATTTTTGTCAAGTTTATTTTTATTTTTTTTTTATTTAAACTTTATTGCATACAAAAAAGTACAAATGGCGAACTTAATGCCACTAGGCATTCTCTACCAGTTAACCAGAGAGCTGAGTACAGAACAATTAACAGGCGTTGCAAAACTTGACAACAAACAAACAAAAACGAAAGAGAAAGGAAAAAAGAGGAATAGAGTTAATAAACAAACAATTTGGTTAATGTATATATTATGTACATAAATATGATCATACATAAACAATAAAAATTAATTTTATACATACATAATAATAAATATATATACATAACAATAAATTATATTATAATAATATATATAATAAACATATATCCAAATGAGACTATTGTGATGCAGGTGGAGAATCTAGCATTAGATTGCGGACTAACTGCTTAAATGCGAGTTTATTTGGCGCACTTTGAATATGGGGTGGGAGAGCGTTCCAGAGTCGTATTGCCTGAAGAGTAAACGAGTTAGAGACAAAACCAGTACGGTGAGGAGGAACAGATAAATTAAATTTATTATGTGAACGCTGATCACGGGCATTGTGCACACCAAAGTATTGAAACTTACATTTCAAATACTCTGGTGCACATGGGTCTTTGAGTACGGAATAAAGCGTGGAGAGGATTCTCAGATTCCGGCGCTGACGAATCGTGAGCCATAATTTTTATAATTGCTCTTGGCGTTGATTATAATTATATACAATAATAAATATATAATAAAATCGCTAAGAGTCTGTACTTTTAATATTTTAAAGTTAATGCCCTCTATGTTATTTATTACAAACTAACAATTCAAAAAGTATATCGATTTGTCATCGCTTCAACAACAGTTTACTGTTTTCACCAAATTCTTTTAATTGGAAATGAATGTTAAATCAACATTCCTGAAGTGTTGTTTAAATAGTTTTGCATTTCTTTTTATATTTTATATACTTCATATTTAGTGTGATATACCTAAATCAGATTTTCGAAATTCATTGCTTTTTATTTTTGTTACTTTATCCCAGGGTTGCCATCTACAATTTTAAATATCTACTAAAGATAATTTATCGGAATACCCCATTATGATAGAAATATAGAACAACCTACATTACTATCATAATATGTTGTGCCCACAAAAATACGTTTTTTTCTAACAAAACTGAGTGCATAGTTGCTTGGGCCAGAAGCTTGCAAAAAATGTTTACATTAGATGGCATAGAGATTTAAGTCTTAAGTCTTGACGTGCTCTTGACCCTGCACATTAGGCGTTTAGCGCTTTTTTCATTACAGTTTGCTGGGTCTTACAAGATTGAAATTCATAAAATTTAAAAGGTAAATTATAAACGTACTGATTGTCATTATAAAATATATTAATTGGGTAATGCTGTAAATTTAATTCGCAAAATGGGAAGAAGTTCCGGAAGTATTAACTCCTGGGACTTGCCAACCACGAAGTTAAATCCAAAACAGTAATCAAAATTATGAACTTGGTGGCACTTTGATTATTACGAAAATGTAGAGTTATTATTAATTTTGTCTTTAAATGATTATAATACAGTGTTAAAATGCTAGGACGTGATCGTTTTAGGAAAATATGATTTCTCAATTTCTAACAATAAATATTCTTTGTGTATTGCGTTTTAACTCGGTTTTGTTATTGACATAATATTCCTAGAAGCGTTGAGACGGTTATTCATTCTCGAACATCGATAGCGATAACCTATGGCCGGCTCGTCCGGGGATATAAATTGACGTGATGACCCGTCTCGTGTTAGTACTGTATCAGACAAGTTTACTGGTGCATCTAAGAACAGTGTTCCAAAATGTTTGTGTTTCTAGCGCTCCTGGCTGTTGTCAGCGCTGCTCCACACTATGGATACCACAGCGATGAAGAAGGCGGCTTATGGACGCAGCAGAATAGTGAAATGGACCTCTTCGGTGGACAAATGTTCGACGCTCGACAGTTCTGGAGAGAACTTGCAGACGAAATGCACAGAATGGACCAAATGTTGAACGAATTTTCCAAACATTTTCCGTCAACAACTTCAAACGAAGGCGTAGAAGATGACCAGTACGTCGTGACTATCACTCTAACAGGATTTGATGAGAAAGACATCGCTGTCAAGGCTAGAGAAGGGGTTCTTATGATTCAAGCTGTGCATAGCACAGAAGATGGCAATGAAAGAAATTATGTCGACCTTAGAACTTTGCCCACTTACGTAAATGTCAATGGAACTTGGACGTATAATAAGGGTGTCTTAAAGATAACTTTTCCATTGAAAGAGAAGCCAACAGAAGATGACGGTGTCACTGAGGAAGCAAAACCTACGACTGAAGCCACTACTGAAGAAGCTGAGAGGAGTCGGGAAGAAATGGAGCCAACGACTGGATATGAAAACGTGAACGTTGACGTCGGTGTTGAGAGAGGCGATACCGATAGAGAGCAGGAACTTCTTACTAACTCAATATATCCTTACAGACCAGTAGAAGCGACAACTTACTCCGTAGATCTCAAAAACGACGTAGAGTTCGTACCTATGAAGATAAATCGTAATTAATTATAATTTTATTTTTGGAAAGTATAATGATACTAAATGTAGCAATAAATTATTATTCTTCAGCAAATTGTTTCTATCTGGTCGCATACTCGAAGTTATTTGAGGTCTAATGATAACATCTTGACCTTTGCAGTTGTTTACAATACACTAATTACAAGTGGAGTTGAAGAGTTGATATGTATTTTCGTTGGTTAGAGCACATTTAACCTAATATAGTGTGTTTTCTCTCTAACAACAACGAGATTTGAATTAATTAAAACTTTACTTTAAAATCTATGTATTTGGTCGGAATTTCAATGCCATTTTGTTTAACATAAACCAAATAGTCGTGTTCCTGAAGTTTCCTTTGCGTTATGACGTGGGTGAGGTTTCACACAAAAAGTGCGTAAAAAGGTAACTGTAACGCATGGGCCTTATAGGTGGTCATAACGATGACCACCTCTAATGAAGTGGTTTGTCTGCTCGTTTTGCCTCCTACACAATTAAATTAAAAAATATAACACTTTATTAGATACCATGTTTTTTCCCCTATGATTTCAAGTGACGGGAGGAATAAATCGGACGTCTGGTGGTAAGCGACATGTCTGTCCGTTAACATTAAGATCTGAGGAAACGCTACCACTGCGCCCGTCATTCTGAAACATAAGTTGACAAGTCCCACATGCCTGTAAATCACCAGCATCCTTCTCTTCCAATCCGGAACCCAGTAATGCTCACTTTACCGCATGGCGGCAGAAATAGGTACCATGGCAGTGCTTTCCTGGACGAAGATTTTCATAAGGGGCTAAACTATGTACAATGTGGTAAGTGTAGAGAAAAAAAATTAATAGCTTGAACACAGTCTACGGTAGTCCACATTGCAGTGAATGTTTGTGTGTTTGTGTACATGACATTAGAACCATTCGTAATGTTAGTTAGTGCTCTTATCGAATGGAAATGCAAACATTGTACCATTGATTAACGGTAGTGTGTTGATTTGTTTGCCTTGCCGAACTGACTGCGCATATAACCTATCTGTCATTAAGCGGTTACGAGCTCTACTTTGTTTATCGGGTCAATTTCTACTGATCTATTTCCTGTGTCGGTTTTGTACACACATCAAAAAAGGTTTGCGATCACTTCGAAAAACTGAAATCTTTTTTGATACTGTAGATTATATTATGATTTTTTCTTCTTTTTAGATTCTTTATTTAAAAATAAATTAGAACATAAAACAATGACCCCGTTCAATTGTTTTTTCATATAAAAAGGCTTTCAGTCCTAGCTTACGCTCATTCAGAAATCTGATTTAGTCAATTATAAGCGATTCAAGATATTTTTCGCGGAAAGTTGTGATTGAAAAAATGCCAAGAGGATTATCAGAGGTTTTACGAGCTAGAATAGTAACTTTGAGGGAAGAAGGATACACCACGAGAGTAATAGCACGCAGACTTGCTATATCCCAATCCTGTGTCGTGGCTACGTTGCAGAGGTATCACGGAATGGGGAATTTAGCTGACCGACCCCGCAGCGGTCGCCCAACTGTTTTGACAGCTGCCCAAAAGCGCTATATTAGATTGCTGGCAGCCCGTGATCCAACAATCAACGCCACTAAAATAAAAGCAGAAGTCAGGGCCGCCTCTGGGCTTGTTATTGCCTTCGATTAGTTGTTTGACAATAACAAAAGAAAAATCTTACTGTATAAAAGTTGTTTGTGTATTTATTATTGGTTTATACCGCATTTTGTGTCGAATATTCCATGAACGGGGCCAATGCTCAGTTACTTCACAGCGTTCGTCAGCTGTCACTGCGTAGCAATACATTGTTTGTCAGGCTAGTGGTGCAGGTTTGCACCTAAGCATTAATAAGTAATGTATGTGTATGCGTCTGTTTTTTAACCGACTTCAAAAAAGGAGTAGGTTCTCAATTCGACTGTTTTTTTTGGATGTATGTTACGCGATAACTCCGGTATTTGTGAACCGATTTTCATGATTCTGTTTTTGTTGGAAAGAGAGTACCTCCATAGTGGTCCCATTTCATTTTGAAGAAAATCATCCACCTCTAAGGGTGGCTGATGGGGATGAATCCGGGTTTGCGTACTTTCCGGTAACCGATTTCAATAAAACTTCGCAAATAGATGTAATTCCCCGTACTTTTGAGGTCGGTTTTTTTAGTACTCTGTACTGAGTTTGTCTAAAATACTTTAGGAGTGTTATCTGTGATATTTGCCACGGACATATTGTTATGTTATGTACCTACAATAATATTTAATATGTTTTCAATTTTTTATATTGTGTAGTTGACGACAGCGACAATGTGCGAAGAATCTGTATAGGTTTGTACACATTATTTCGTTGTGTTAATTGTAAATTGAAAAGTGTAATAACAAATGAATAAATGAAAATTTGGAATCAACGACGAGTTGTGGAATTTTTAAGAGTATTTTTATTTTTATTTCTTTTTTAATATTCAGGACCTTCTTATATCCTTTACGTATCATACACGACAATAAATACAAGTTTGTAGACTTATATTAGGTTGTGCGGCGAGGTAGTTGGGATGTTATCTGGTTAGCGACGTCCAGTGAAACAGGAACAATTTTAGATAGTGTGTTTATTCGTTCACGGTGCAAATAGAAGGGAAGTAATAATTTAGTTATAATATACAGAATCTTATGCCTAATAATTTCCTTCAATATGCAATCCAAGGAGCTACTAAATGCGTCACGTTGCTTCGTCACATTGCAATGGATTAAACAATAAAAAAATATTGAAAAGGAACACATGTTTACAAATAAATTGAAAAGTTTCTCACTGTAACTCTGCTTTTATAATTTACAGAGGTTTTGGGTTTTCTTTAAATAAGTGTACTATTGACCTCCATCTCTCACATGATGGAAAGTGACTATAAGGTTAACGGTAGAGCATGCATACTTAAATAATGCATATTATTTATTTACCTTCGCCTTAAAAAGGCCCAAGATTATGAAAATAAGTAATATACTTAATGAAGTATGCCTTTACCAGGCTTATGTTGGAGTATGTAATAGTATCTTTTAACACGTTGTCTGCACCATATTATGCAATAATCTCCGACTGCCTCCTCACTGCTTCCGAGGCCCAACTTTTACCATGCTGGACTGCTACGCAGAGGTCCCGGGTTCGACTCTCGGGCCGGGAAAAATATTTGATGACCTACGTTTATTGCTCTTGTGAGTTTGGGTGCAATTTGTGGTTGTCTATGTGTGTGTCCATAGCACACAGGGTTTCCCTCGTGCGGAGTTATGAGTGTGTGCAATAAAAAAAATAATATCGATATGTATATAACTATGAATACCACTTAATATTATCGTAGTATTTGACGCTTTGTTTGTTTTAATCGCGTCAAAACCTATTGGCGCCCGAAATCGAAGGCAAAGGGTATTTACAACTAAATATTTGTAGATTGAGTTTTGTTCATATGTAATGGATATTATTACTTGCTTACGTATTTCGCCTTTCGATTAAATTGATTTGCTTGAAAATCACATTGAAATGAATCGATACAAACACATATATACACTTGAAGTAGTAAGTGAGCGTCCACAGGATTGCAAGGGGTACCTATTGTGTGCAGTGTGAGTGAATACAAATTGATATTCGGCAGAAAGCACGGTTAAAACCCGGGCAGGTTGATTGGGTTTTTTATTCAGTACCTGTCTATGGTTGATACATTATTATTATATATGTAACAGTTTTGAAAACAATCTGAAAAAAAAAAGGTATTCAAAAGTAAGGAAATAAAAAAAAAAATAAAGGTAAGGAAATAACCTGTCCAATTACCAGTATCGCGGATTTGTATCTCGTTTATGATTATGAAATACAAATTAAATGCTGAACAATTTCAATTTCAGGCACTCTTGTTCAAACAACTATAATCATAAAAATTAACACATGTACTATTTGATGTCAGTTTTTAAACGACTTCAAAAGTAGGAGGTTCTCAATTCAACTGTATGTTTTTTTGTACGTGTGTTACGCGATAACTCCGGTATTTGTGAACCGATTTTCATGATTCTCTTTTTGTTGGAAAGAGGCTACCTCCATAGTGGTCCCATTTAATTTTGAAGAAAATCATCCACCTCCAAGGGTTGCTGTTCACGCATGAAGATTCATTTTTATTAATAGCGCCTACATTTATTATGAAGAGCAATTATTTTAATGGTAGATTTTGCTATTCTCCAATTCAAGGCGCTTTTCTCTCTCAATATACTTTGAGTAGCGAGAACCGATTGTTATTATCTCCTGTGTTAAGTCCCGTATAGTGGCGAACTAGGGGATGAATCCGGGTTTCAATAAAACTTGGCAAATAGATGTAATTCCACTTGCACTTTTGAGGTCGGTTGTTTTAATACTCTGTACTGAGATTATTGAACACCGAGTATAGGCTTCAATACTATAATGCAAGTTGCATGCGATGATTCTCGTTGTGGAACTTGAATGTACTTGGAGACAATTTTTTTATTTATTTATTTAATCCAGGTCATATAATATAATATACATATACCTTAAGGACTAACATGCATACAATATAAAAAAAACACTACTTATATTAAATGACTACATACATACATAATACTTCACACCTTTTTCCATCCTATCCTATTATAAAACAACTGATTTTTCGTGATATATAAAGACTTCACAGTGGTTTCCATGTGGTTGAATACCCATGAAAGGATGTGAATGAATAAATTAAGGCCTTATAGCACACGTCCCATTGATGGGCGCTGGCGGTGACCGGCGATATCAAAGTCATTTATCGTAAACAGTTTTTCATTGCAATAACAAATTTTCGAACCACCGCCGATGCCAGATCGTTATGATAATTCATAAATTTGCGACTGAGGATGTCAACATATTTCTGGGGTTTCTGTTTTTTCTTGTATTACCTACTGAGCATCAGTTACTAAATTGAATAATAACAAAAATAACAACTATTTACTTTTACACAAGTTTTTTTTTGAGCATTGGCTATAAAATTCATTCAATAAAATAATTTGTAAAACTTAATGTAGCGTAAATTGGAATGTTTTCTTTGTAAAATTAAAAATAAGGTATTTAATTAATAACTATTGTAACTATACTGAAAAAATAGGGTGGTTTGCATTAATATTAGACGTAACTGGTTGAAGACTGTACCACCTCAGTCAACCGTGACCATGGGACCTGTAAAGGGCCCGAAACGTCGGTTTGTTTGAAAAAACAAATATACGCGATTTAAATCCGGAAAAATATACTCCCGGACACATAATTTGAGCCACCTCGCATTTTTGCCTTAAAGGGCTAGAATACAAAAATAGTGTTATCATCGAAGAAAAAGGTTTCCCCCGGTTTTGCAAGTCCAAATTTCCAACAAGGACTTATGGATAAGATTTTAAATATACTAGTTTCAAAATTGCGGAGGATAGTTCTTGATCAATCGAACATTATTTAAGCTTACGGCATTTAATACCGATGCGA